GTTAGACTAGGCGGGCCTCAAACTCACAGAGATCTGTCTGCCTCTGCCTCCTGAGTGCTGGGATTAAAGGTGTGAGCCACCACCGCCCAGCAGCATGCTATTCTTAAGTTTTATCCAAATACCAATACCATATTCCTTTCAGCTGCTAAAATACATACTATTGAATGGACATACTACTTTTTATTTAAGGATTTATCCATCAATAATACATGTTTGGGATGCTTCTAATTATTTTGGCAATTATGAACAATGCTGCTGTGAATATCTGTGTACATTTTTGTGTGGTATGTTCTCATTTTATAGTATAAAAATAGGAATGGAACTGCTGGGTCAAGGTAACATTGATTAACATTTTGAGAAAATATTCAAATGTTTTCCAAAGTATAAATAAAGTATAATTTAGAAAAATATTTTATTTTAACATATTTGAGAAAGCATCTAGCTACTATGTTGGTCAGGATGACCTCAAATGAATGATCTGGTATCCTTAGCCTCCAAAGTACTGAAATTATTATTGTAGGGTGGTGGCACATGCCTTTAATCCCAGCACTCAGGAGGCAGAGGCAGGCGGATCTCTGTGAGTTCGAGGCCAGCCTGGTCTACAGACCAAGTTCCAGGACAACCTCCAAAGTAATACAGAGAAACCCTGTCTTGAAAAAACAAAAAAAAAGAAAAGAAAAAAAAAGAAATTATTATTGTGTACCACCATGTCTGGATTCCTAAGAAACAAAACAAAACAAAACAAAAAACAACCCTACTTTGGTTTAGCTCTTCATTTTGAATATATTGGCCAATAAATAAATTCTAATATTTTTTTATATGTATGGGAATTTGCCTGCATGTATGTATGTCTATGTGCCACATACACATTATTCTCATGGATGCCAGAAGAGAGCATGAGATCCCCTGGGACTAGAGTTACAGACAGCTGTAAGCCACTATGTAGATGCTGGGAATCAAACCTGGGTCCTTTAGAAGAGTGGCCATTGCTCTTAACTGCTAAGTGATCTCTCCAGACCCTCAGTCTAAAGTTTAAAGGTAATAAACCCTTATAGGTTCAGAGAAAAGGCTTAGCAGACAAAAGGACTTGTAGTCAAGACCAATTCAGATGGCCCAAGTTCAACTCCCAGGACTTACATAGTGGAATGAGAGGTCCAAGTCTTATACAAATCATCTTTTGCCCTCCACATAGGTACTGTGGCATACATGTATCCACACACACACACACACACACACACACACACACACACACACACACACACACACACACACACACACACACACACGGACACACACGGACACACACGGACACACAGGGACACACAGGGACACACAGGGACACACAGGGACACACATGCACAAAAAAAAATGTAAAAAAAAGTCTCTGAAATACTAGGTTTAGTTTAAAGCTCACCTTTTATAAAATCAGGTCGTGCTGTCTGTGCTGTCTGTGAGTGAATGGAATCTATGGCTCTATGAATGTTAACAAACATACAGCTGAGTTACAGCCCCAGATGTTTTTGCCTTTTTCTTTCTGATTTAATGTCTCAAAAAGTTACAAGGCTGGCCTTGAAATACTCTGTAGCCCAAGTAGAACCTGCACTTGTGATCCTGGGGGTTATAGGCCTGATTTATCATCAGCCCATCTTGGATTCTGCTTTTAATAAAAGTTTTCCACTTCATATGTTTGTGAAATGGCAACTTTCCATCAGAGATTCAAACTTCAATATATAAATAAAATCCCAAACTTCAAATACTCCCAATGATTGTTTTCTAAAAATAATTCGGTATATATGTCAAAATAACTAAGCATATTCAGTGTTCCTGGTATTGAAATAATGTTCAAAAAGATGGAAATGCTGATTTCCTGGACTTAATCATTATACACATCAATTTATCAAACCATGATATTACAACCCATAAATATGTACAAATGTGAGGCATCAATTAAAAAAGTGAAGTTATAGGTAACATGAAATAATAGTGTGTTAACCATTTTAAAGTGCAGCTCAGGGTCATTATGTACACTTATAGTGCTATGCAACCAACACCACATTCCATCTCTAGAACTTTCTCATTTTCCCATTATGATTTTTACGTTTTATGTTTTTAAGAACAAAAAAATTGAATTCTACCTCATCAGTGAGCTCTCTCCCAGAGTTGGATCTAGGTCTTTGAGGGCCCATCACTTCACCTGCTACTGTCTGCACTTCAGGTTCTTTTCCATTTTCCTAAAATTGTAATTGTATAAACAGATTGGATCAATTTCTATAAATTTTAATTATTCAGTTCCACGCACACTTCTACAAAATTCTACAAATCAGAAAATAGAGCTTACTGAAAATTTAAAATAATGATTCCATTTTAGTCCTTTATTATTATTATCTGCATGTTGCTAGAAACAAAAGCTACCAAAGCACATGAAATTGTGCCTTGGTAGTATATTAAACAAATACATGTTTTATTTGAACCCATCTAAAACGACAATTCTCTATTAAGATTGGAATTAATTCAGGCCATATGTGGATATTGCTAAAGAAGGGTTAGGACAACTTTTGTTTATGTAAAGACTAGACAACAAACATGTTAACATGTTAAAAATACTGTTGTTGCTGCATTTTCTTCTGCATTGAAAAAACACAATACTTTAAAAAGGCAAACACCATGTTGATCCTCCAAAAACAGACGGATTGTGAGCTAGATCTACTGCATTGTTAAAACAAGATAGTAATGTGCTCTCTGTCTCTCTCTCTTTCCCCCTCTCCTTTCCCCTCCCTCCCCCTCTCTCTTTCTCTCCCTCTCTGTCTGTCTCTTCCCCTCCCTTTCCTCTCTCCTGCACCTCTGGTCCCTGGATGCTTGTCTCTCCCCTCCCCTTTCTCCTTTTTATGAAAGACAAAAGAGATGGTAATGTTACATTTCCAGACCTGTTAACCTTCCCCATCTCAGCTACTATTTAAATTAAATTACCCCGAGTTCCAGAATTTCACTGTGGTAAAACGTTATGCACTTCTTTTTGGATAGCCCACAGCTTAGTACATGAAATAGTTTATTTCTAGGAAAAGGAACTTGTAATATTAAAAATAGAAGCATCTGTTTTTAAAAATACCTATAATCTGCCACACACTTGGCATACATTAACACATTTCATTCTTGCAGAAAACCTTCAAAGCAGATACTTTTCCCTTGTGGGGCATCTTAAAAATCAGATGCTAAATAGCTAGCTAATCTCACCAGTTAGTAGCCAAGCTAGAAAAGGAAGTGAGGTGGTCAGGCATAGGGGACAAAGAAATATTTGGCCTAGAGAAGAAAAAAAGGCTTCAATCATTAAGCCAGCTAGTTGCATAAAGTTTGAATAACCCTGTATCAAATATAATAGTAATTCACCAACCTGGGCAGTAACTATTTTATCTCCACTTGTAGCACTTGCCAAATCAAGAGACGGCTGGGAATCTCTAACAGTACTCTCTGAAGCCACATTTGTAGCAAGGAGAGAATCAGATGGAATGTTGTCCTTGGCTACTGCAATGATAATAAAAATAATAATTTCATGCACACATATTCAAAAATAATAAAGAAGTGATTTAACCTTTATTTAATTTTTGTAACAAGCTTCTGGGAACAATGACTTCTATTATTCTTGTTTTCTTTATTAAAAAATCCTTGATTCAAATGAATCATTTAACTTCTTCAAGACTACACAGTTTATACATTCAAAGATACAGGATTTGAATTCAGACATTTTAAGTTTTCCACTCCTATTTTCTTTCTATCACTGCCACACCAATTCTTAGAGGGTAAGAAATGGGAAAGTCTGGAGTAAAATTATTTTAACTTGTGACTAGTATACCTTTCAACTTTTGTCAACTTACTGAAGAAGTAACTTATATATTGTAGCTATCAGAGTGGTCTTTCTTTCTTTTTTTTTTTTTTTTTTTGGTTTTTTGAGATAGGGTTTCTCTGTGGCTTTGGAGGCTGTCCTGGAACTAGCTCTTGTAGACCAGGCTGGTCTCGAAGATCTGGTCACAGAGATCCACCTGCCTCTGCCTCCCGAGTGCTGGGATTAAAGGCGTGCGCCACCAACGCCCGGCTTCAGAGTGGTTTTTCTTTAGCACAAAGTGAAACGTAAGCAGAAAACTTAGCTAAGAATCAGCAAATGCCTATGTTGGAGGTCCATGGTAGCCTGGATGACATAAAAGGCCCCTATCTTACCTCTCCCCCACCCAAAGCAGGAAAGTTAAGTGTCAACTCTCATGTTTCCCAACCAAAACATTTCTCAATTAATACTTGCCATCCAGATCAGGTGTTTTATAAGCCTCAAACTCCAGTTCACTTTTCTTTTTTCTTGGTGGGGGCGCAGGTCGGGCTGGAGGTGGGGGTCTAGGAGGTGGGAAATTCGTTGGTGGCGGTGGGCGTGCAGGAACAGGCTTCTTTGTACTGGCTACTATATCAGGTTCTGGAGAAAGGGGCTCTGGGGGTGTAGATAAAGAGTCTGAGCAGGCAGGATCTAGATCGTCACTTTCTTTGACTTCCATTGCTTCCTTGTTCAACATTTCAGTTTCCAGCTCAGAAACATCAAGCTTCTCAGCTGAACTTACTTCAGTTAAATCAGAAGTTTGATCCTCTGTCTTCTCACAGGTGTCATCAGAAGGCAAACATATTTGTGTTTCTAATTCGGTTTCTTCAAATTGATTTGAACTGTCTGCCTTTTCAGAATCTTGTTGTAGTTCCTGCTGTATGGATAATAGTCCAGGTATGTTACTAATGTTTGTGCCAGCCATAGAAGTACTGGCAATAGCCTGATCAAAGAGTCCTTTTTCTTTGGAATCCAAAGAGTCATCTTCCAATTGTACTACTTTCTGACTTTCCTCAATAATACTTTCAATTATCTAATGAAAGGTAAAAAAATAAAAATAATGAAGCTATTTACAATAACAAAATAATAGCTAATTCAATATATGACAGGCAATGTCTGTAACACTTTACTGATTTTAATCTTTACCACAAATATCTGAAGTTTTGCCCTTTTATCTTCATTTTACAAATGAAGAAACTAAAGCATACATGGACCAAGTGATTTGCCCAATGTTTTCAAGTTGGTTAGTGATTTAAAAAAAGTGGCATAAACCCTTGAAATTTGCTTCCAGAATCTATATGCTTACCCATTGTAGTAGGGCATCTGTGTTATTATATAGTCATAAAAGTTCAATAAACCCTGTAAGATGAGCCATATGTCTTCTCATGAAGATTCCAAATGTCAAGAGTTTATTTACATAGTTCTGCCAAACTAGCTGCAATAACTCCCTGCTGTCTCTAGTTAACAAAAACATGAGAACAAAATCCACCCAGGATTAGAATTTAACTTGTGTCAATCTAAACTTAAGACTACATCAGAAAAGTCAGCAGATGCAAGGAGACGAACACACTTAAATCAGTTATAAGGCTTCATTCCTCAGACTGAGGGCAGGTCTTTGAATAGAGCTCTGACATCAGCCCACATTGCTCCTTTTCCCCGTATTTCTTACTTCTAAGTGAAAAATACACAGAGGTGGTCTATGTCTTCAAGTAACATTTAGAAGAAAATATATCCTCTACCCAGTCTAGTCATTACTAACACATTTATATTCCCTGATCCACTCATTCTTCTACCTTACCAACTCTGGATTCTGTTTTCTTAATTATCCAGCTCCAGTAAGTTAACAGAATATGTCACAGCTTTTTTACAATTCCATACTAGTAGAACTGGCTGTCATTGCTGTTCTGTAAGATTGGCCCTTGATGTCCCAGAATATATTACAAGTAATAGTTTTTTCTTTATCTTGAAAGTTTTAGTGCTAGAAAGTACCTCGTTTTCACCACATATAATATTAACTGCGGTCCACAATGTTCATCATATTTGGCATTTAATCAGCATTGGTGACTTTAGTGGTAAGTCAGATAACAATGGGTGTGAAAATGAATAAAAGGGATCACTGTGGAAGAGGAAGTGGAAAGGGTGTAAGAGCCAGAGGCAGTAAATGACTACAAGGAAACGGACTTCAGGGTGCAGAAGGGCAACTCAATGAACAATGTGTGCATATAAGATCAGTGCAAGCTCAAGTTTGAACAAATACTAACATGAAGAGAGGTTGTGGACACAAAGTTCTACCCCTAGCCCAGAAGCTTCCGGCAACTGACAACTGTGTGAAGAGAGCGGGTCAGTCTTTAAAGACTGTAGCCCCTGGTAAGTTGACTGTGCTCCAGTAGAAGACCATACATCCAAGAATATATGGGCAACACAAATAGGATTTGATTTTTTTTCCTTTTTTTAAAGACACAAAGTTTGATGGGAAGGGAAAGGGGTGCATTTGGGAGGAGCTGGGGGAAGGGTGAATGTTTTCAAAACACATATGCAATTCTCAAAGAACTAACTTAAAAAAAATGACTAAAAAGCAAAGACATAGAGTACATATATAGGGTATAGTTCCTGGTTAGCAATACACATTTTTCAGTCTGTTGATGATAGATGCCTTCCATACCTATTTATGGTGCCTAATTCTTGTCAATTTTTTATGGATTTGGAAGCAAGGAAAAGGGGAAAAAAGAAAGTAGAACTAAAAGCAGCAAAGATATGATGGTGCTGTTGTACTTTTTACATCAAAGCATGCTGCTTTCTTAGTGATTGTAAAATGAAACCCAGATAGTTTAGTACGTCATAGGCATTCTCATAACTTGGACTTATTAGACTCACCTCCAAACACTGCACATTCCCCAGCCCTAAGCCACTGGGAATGTCCTTCCTCTTAATCTCTGCCTGCCAAAATTTTATCTATTCACCACAAATCAGTTCACATATACTTTTCCCATAACATTATCTCCGTTCCTACTGTCAAATAAGAGAGCGTTTCTCCTTGTATTTTTATATTTTATAAAATTAATGTAACATTTATTACATTTATTTTAATCTACATTCCTTATTTTCTTTTTGACATATGGTTGTATGCAGGCTGGCTTCAAACTCCTGATGTAGTTGAGTATGACCCTGAGTTTTTCTGATTCTTTTGCCTCTACAACCCAAGTGCAGAGGTTAGAAGTTTGTGCCACCATGTCTGGTTATGCTTAATCAAATTCCTCTACTAAAATGTAAGATACTTCTGAGCAGGGTAGTTAGTATTATATGCCTATGGTCTTCAACAATTAATACTTAATTAATCTTAAAGGGCTAGAACTTTAAAAGAGTATTAAGCCTCACTTTATGTCCCACAGAATTTTCTTACTACTTTTTCAGTTTCTACTTAAACTCTTCTTCAAATCACCTTTTGGGTATTAACTATAGACAGGATAAATTGTAAGTAAGTAACTGATTTTTAAAGGGGGGTAATTACAAACTGGGGTAGTGATGAATGCCAGTAATCCTAGCATTTGAGTGGCTAAAGGAGGAGGAAGGGAGAAATACAGTAAAAAGAACAAGTTTCAACAATAAAAATGGCTAAATATGTTTTAAAATGTTTAGAGGAAGCATAGTAATGATGAAATATGAAGGACATATAAACATGGTAAGAATAAAATGTAGAATATAAAATTCTACCTACATTGTAATTGGCAAGAAATAAATATATACAAATGGTTGAGAACCAAGAATGAATGACGAAAAAAAAATAAAAAACAAAGAATCTGTTCCACTGTAGAATTGTGAGTTTTTTCCTATTTTTAAAAACAATTCTTCTCTATATGCTAACACAAAGAACACCTCTTCTCCCTAAAGGTGTTTTTCTCTTTTATAGTGAAAGGTATGACCAATATTAAATTTCATAGTTTGTTATATTTATAAATTTTATAAGGGTAGAATAGCATTCTCCACTGACAGCAAATTTGCCACAAATCCATTCCAGATACAGAGACATCTTTGGTTGTTATGACTAAAGGGTGGAAACAATGCTATTGGTGTTCAGGTAGGTAGAAAAATCCTACAGTGCACACAATAGTTGCTGCTTCTCTTCACAACAATGAATGTGAGGAGTGTTACTGTTGGAGAAGCTGAGGTAGAGAATGAGCTGTTTTGCTGGGCTGTAGAAACTTCTGGCTAGCACAGTGCTCATGGCCCAGAAGATACTCAAAATTTGTATAAAGTAAATGAATATAAATATCTTTTTCCTTGGAATTTATGCTGATATTACAAATAGTCCATTTTACAATGCTCATTTTTTAAATTGTATATGTGAGTACTACATGCAGAGGCTAGATAAGAATACCCTGTGTCTTCCTCAATGCTATCTACCTTATTCCTTTGAGACGGGGTTTGTCACTGAACCTGGTTAGCCTCCTGGCTTACAAGGCCAGGAAACTCCTGTTGGGGTAAACCTATATCCATTCCTGCACTTCCAAACACAAACACACATGGTCATGACTAGCTTTTTGTGTACATAAATTCTGGGGATTTGAACTCAGGTCCTCCAAGCTTAAACAGCAAGTGTTTTGCCCACTGAGATACCATGCCAGCCCCAGGCACAAAATATGTATCTTGCATTCAGTCTCTCTTCTTGTGAGCTAACTTCTGGAGCTTCACATCACTGATTATTTAAAAGGCACCAAGGACTCTATCAGTGTAAGGACTTCCTAAGATATCGTAATTTGCTACAATAAGCCTTTCAGTATCTGTAAATTCTATTTTTGTTATTAATGTTTTAAGATAGAGTCTCACTATATAGCCCTGGCTGTCCTGGAACTCGCTAAGTAAACCAGGCTGGCCTCAAATTCATACAGAACTACCTGCCTCTGACTCCAAGTGCTGGGATTAAAGGTGTGCAACACTATGCCTGGCTCAGAACGTGTAACTTTTAATAGTAAAGTCAAGATTAGGAACTTGTAAACCAATATATACAATTGTATTTTGCTGCTGGTGTTATTGTTTTGATTTTTGAGACAGAATCTCCCTTTGTAACCCTGGCTGACCTGGAACTCACTATATACATCATGTTCTCCTGCCTTCTAACTGCTGAGAATAAAGGCCTGTGCCATAGCACTTAGCCATATTAAACAAACAGAGAACTGTTTCAAGGATAAACTACCAAGTAGATGATGACATGACTTCTAAAAAGCCCAATGTGCCTTCTACCATAAAGCTGTTGATGCAAAAAAACATTTGCTAAAACGATTAGTATGTACAGAACAATATGCTGAAACAATAGAGAAAACATTCTATTTAAATGCATCATATAAATTTGATATCCTCTATAAACTGAAGTTGACATTTTATCTTTCCAACCTTTTTAGATACATCTTGTCTCAGTTCTTGTACAGAGGACTCCTTTTCAGCTTTGTATGCCGTATTCTCTGTTTCCTGTTTAAAGAAAGAAAGAAACAGACCAAATGATGGCTTTTATTTAAAAGTCTCCTCAAAAGGGGTGCAAAAGGGGAAATATAGCATTCATAAATCAAAGAACACATGAGATTGTGCTTAAAAGCTAAAACAAGAAAATAATAATACTAAACAAAGCAAAGAAACAAGAGAAACCAACAGTATTATGCCAACCATGACACTTTGATTTACAAAAATAAACATCAGCAAATTTGTATTTTTTTCCTTTTAAATGTGAAAAACTGAGCCTAACTTTCAGCAAAGAAGATTTATTTTTATTTTTATATGTATGGGTATTCTGCCTGGGTACATGTATGAACACAATTTGGATGGCTGTAGAGGCTAGAAGGCACTGGATCCCCTGGATTTGGGGTTGCAAATAGTTATGAGCTGCCACGTGGGTTCTGGGAACCAAACCTGGGTCTTCTGAAAGAGCAGGAAATTATCTTAATTTTGAACCATCTATCCAGACCCCTGAGCTTATCTTTTAAACATTAAATAGCTAATAAAGAGCTGGTGAGATGGCTCAGAAGGTAAAAGTGCTTGTTACAAGTCTGACCACCTGAGTTCAGTTCCTGGAACACACAGCATGGAAGGAAAGAACCAATTCCTACAAGTTGCCCTCTGATCTCCAGAGTTCAGCCTTAGCATGCATGTGCCCCCAATAATAATAATTTTTAACTTAAAGCATTTAATAGACGATAAGAACTCTGGGTATCTTAGTAGCTAGAAAACAAAGGATCAAAAATATTTTCCCTGGGGCTAGAGAGATGGCTCAGTGATTAAGTGCCCCAGGCTGGCCTTCCAGAGGACATAAGTTCAATTCCTAGAACCCAAATGGTGACTCACAACACAATACTCTGAGACTTCAGTTTTCTGGGATTCTAATGCCTTCTTCTGGCCTCTGCTGACACCAGACATGCAAGTGACACACAGACATACACACAGGCAAAACACCTACACATATTACATAAACAGATGTTAAAAACTTTCCAAAAGTATTATTCTATAAATATATAAAAATAAAAATCTCATGATACAGAAAAACATATTCTGAGAATATTTTTAAATTCTATATGCTTTAGATAAAAAGAAGCAAAATAGCTGGGCAGTGGTGATGCACGCTTTTAATCCCAGCACTTGGGAGGCAGAGGCAGGCAGATCTCTGTGAGTTCAAGGCCAGCCTGGTCTACAGAACTACACAGAAGCCGTCTCAAACCCCCCCCCCAAAAAAACAAACCCCCCAAAACAAAAAGAAACAAGATTAAACCAGAAGTTAAATTAAGTTTCTCAAAACACTAAAAGATGGAAAACATTAAACCCACCAAAATACATATAAACCTATGTATACATTTGTATGTTTGTTATAAAGGCAGACATGCATACTGCATTGCTGCTAGAAAAATTAGAGTAAAATAATAGTGTTGTAAATTTGCAAATTTGCTTTTTACATTCATAAAAGTACAGCAATTTGAAGGCTACTATTGATATAAAGGAGTATCAATTCATAATTCTTATACATCACAGAGCCTATTAGAGGAAGTCTGCTATAATAACTTTCATAGACAAATGATATAAGGCATATTAGATTATATGTATTAAGATACTTATATGAGTATCAGAATTATTTGTATGAATATTAATTCCATGATGAAGTTTTGCTGAAGATTACTACTGATTAGTATAATTAAGTCAATATTCTACTGAAATTTTTATAGCCTTGAAACATTTTCAATATCAAATTTGTTTCTTTGGATTCCTCTTTAATATTTGGGGAATAGTATTAATTTTATAATAGAATCTGATAAAGGATCATTACTCTCCCATGGAATCTTAAGTATTAGGTAAAATCTAAACTCTCCCACAGCCCCCAAGGGTTTAACATGATATGGTCTCTCCTACACACTTGATAGCTCATGTACTTCTCACCGCCCCCCAATACCTACAGTTCAGTGAACCCTTGCTATTAGGGTTCAAGTGACATTTTTGTCATAAAGGCTTGCCTGGCCATCGTTTAAAAATCACACTCATTTGCTTTTATGTGTATGTGTATATGTATGTGTGTATGTTAGTGGAGAGACATGGGAGACTGGAATAGGAGGATTAAACAGGGAAGAGAATGTAAGAGACAGGTAAGAGAGAGAATATGGGAAGGGACAATTAACACTAAAGGTCATATAGAAACAGTGCCCTGACTAGATATCTTTCATTGCCAAGTAATACCACCAACACCAGGAGTGGGCTATATCTAGTTGAGTCATTGGCCAAAGAAGGCCCCAAACATTGGCTACTGCCAAGGCTATTGGCTGCATTCCACAAACTGATGGTAAGACCCTATTGCTGAAGACAGTACTTACAAATCTCAGTGAACACAGAGAAATCAAGCTGGTGCCTACCTAGCGCCTTCACCCCTACTGACTAGTGCTTATGGTACTCTGCATGCTACCAGGAAAAAGGCAACCAGTTACAAAACTTGTGATCTACAATGGTGACCTGACTGCAAGATATGCTGTACAATAGTGGCACAAACATGGGGTAACCCACAACTCTGACTGAATTTAAGACCTACTCCAAAAGATGGAAACCATGCCTGACATTCTCTAACAGCTATGAATGGGTCTAGAGGAAAACAAAATACTATTGTACTGCTAAAAAAAAAAAGCTATAGCAATAAACTGATGCCCAATGAAATTTTGTTATACCCATAGATCAGTGCCTCAGTCATATCAGCCATTATCAGAGAAGCTTCCTCTTGGAGTAGATGGTAACTAACAGACCCACAACTAGACAATGTGAAGAGAGTAAAAGGTTTTGGAACACTCCTAAATGGGAAGTCTTCATCAAACCCTTCCCCTCAGGGCTCAGGGAGCTATGCAGAAGAGGGGGCGGAAAGACTGAAATAGCAGAGCTGATTGAAGACACCAAGAAAATTGTGTCTTCCAGATACAACAGGCCTGATGCACATATGAATTCACAGAGCACAGGCTCAAGTCAGAGACATAATGACCACATCAACTCTTATAAAGGAAAACATTAATTGTGGTTGCTCGCTTCTAGTTTCAGAAGTTCAGTCCATTATCATTGTTAGTATTTAGGCATCTAAATGCCTTTAGGGTTCTGAAAAGATACACCCTCTGCTGCTGCCACTAAGAGCACCACCTGTGCCTATTCAATATGTTCCCTTTAAAAAGGGCCCTGCCCAACTCCCATCCTCTTTGTCTTCCTCCCACCCTGTACCTCTGCCTCTCTTTCCTCTTTCCCACTGCTCCTGCCCCTGGAGAATGGTCTCCCCCTCCCCTTTCCCCCTTTATGATCCTTTTCCCTAATTAAAAAACCCTCTGCTTGAACCCTGTCACATGGTGTCTTTATCTCTCACACCACTTTATTATTATTATTTTTTAGATTTCAATCCCAGTTCCCCCTCCTTCCTCTCCTCCCGCACCTCCATTCTCCCCCTCCTCTCATCTGCTCCTTGGAGAAGGTAAGACCTCCCCTAGGAAATCTACTAAGTCTGTCCCATCATCTTGTTGAGGCAGGACCAGGGCACCTCTCCCCCCACACACCCCTGTGTCTGGGGAGTTGGGAGAATGAGAAGGGGAGAAGAGGAGGGGTGAGGAGGTCATGAGGGACCAGGAAGTTTGAGTTGGGGGAAGAATAGAGGAGATCAAAAAAAGAGATACCATAATAGAGAGAGTCATCATAGGTTTAAAGAGAAATCTGGCACTAGGGAAATGTCCAGAGATCTATAAGGACAGCAACTAACAATCTAAACAATAGTGGAGAGGCTACCTTAAATACCCTTCTCCTAATAATGAGATTGATGACTACCTTATACATCATCCTAGAGCCTTCATCCAGTAGCTAATGGAAACAGAAACAGACACCCACAGCTTAACAATGAGCTGAACTCTGGAATTCAGTTGCAGAGAGGGAGGAGTGATGAGCAAAGAGGTTAAGGCCAGTCTGGAGAAACCTACAGAAACAGCTGACCTGAACAAGAGGGAGCTCATGGGCCCCAGACTGATAGCTGGGAAACCAGCATAGGACTGACCCAGACCTCCTGAACATGCATGTCAGTTAGGAGGCCTCGGCAATCTATGGGGCCTCTAATAGTGGATCAGTATTTATCCCTAATATAAGAATGGACTTTTGGAGCCCATCTCACATATAGGGATACTCCCTCAGCCTAGATGCATGGGAGAGGGCCTAGGCCCTGCTCCAAATGATATGACAGACTTTGAAGATTCCCCATGGAAGGCCTCACCCTTCCTGGGGAGCAGAAAGGGTTTGGGATAGATGGTTGGTGGAGGGCAGGGGAGGAGTGGAGGGAGAGGGAACTGGGATTGACATGTAAAACAAGCTTGTTTCTAATTTAAATAAGTAAATAAAAAGAAAAAAAAGATATTTGTAGATGAGGATCTGGAGAGAACTTGGTAGTAAAAAGCACTTCCTGATCTTCCACAGGACCTGAGTTGAGTTATTTGCACCCATATTTGATTGGCTCACAGCTGTCTATAACACTAACTCCCGTGGTTTCAATGCCCTATTCTAGCCTCTGTGTAGTAAATACACACAGAGATGCACACATAAAAATAAATCTTTAAAAAGGATAGTGGTAGATACATCACTCATACATAAAACATACTCCATAGCCTCAGTAAATATACATGTATGTACAATACTAAGCAATGAAAATGAACACAATGCTGATAAATAGAATTCTGAGGTATCTCAATGCTTTCTGCTAATTTCAAAGCAACACATACTATGTGATTTCATTTATAGATTATCTTTCAAAATGACAAAATTACAGAGATGGAAAGCCAATTTGGAGATGATGTGAGGTGTTGGTATCATGTTAAATATAAAGTGGCAGCACAAGGCAGATGTTGATGACATAGCTCTGCATCTTGGTTGTGGTGGTTACAGAAACATTCACACACAAAATACTGACATAGGATTATACATTCACACTGGACCAATGCTAAATTCTAGCTTTTGATACTGTCCTATAATTAAGTCACAACCATTGGGGAAACTGGCTGAAGGACACACAGGACTTCTTCATGCTATATTTGTAGATTTCTGTGACTCCATACTTATCTTGAAATAAAAAAGTAAAAAGGGAACAATATCCAATCTCATATTTATTTACTACATATATTACATTTGCTATCTAATTGTAGTCAAGTAAGGACAGTCTTTAATTACTGGCATGAAGTAGATTCTCCAAACCTATTTGTTATACCTATAAATACTTTAGAGCCAAGTGGCTTTGAAAACCTCCAAGCATAAAAAGCAATCACTTCCAGATATGGAGACTAGGAAGGAAGGGTGAGGAATAGGAGGAAAGGCTCTTCTCACCATGTATCTTTTGCTCTATGGACATTTAAACCATTTATATGTATTATTTTTAAAACATGTTTTATGGAAATATTAAGTACAAAATATTTTTTATAAAACACAAGAAAGAATTATAATAGAATCTTTCTTAAGCATCCAGTTGAAGAAAACAGAAAAGCTTTCAAGTCTCTTGTAAATTATTCTCATTTTCCCTAATGATTTCTCCTCTGAGAAATGATAGCCTAAATTTTATTTATCATTGCTTTGCTTTCTTTCCAGTTTGGCCATATTTATGTTTCCTTTTCATTCTTTTTGTTTGATGGAGACAGGGTCTCATGTAGAACAAGATGGCCTCAAATCCACTATGTAAACAAAAAATGACTTTGAATTTTTTTATTCTCCTGCCTCCACATCTCTAGTGCTGGGATTATAGGCATGAGCCATTGCTGTGGAATAATCCTTTTGTACACTGTGAAGAGATATTGTTCTCATTGGTTTCATAAAGATCCAACTGGCCAATAGCTAGGCAGGAAGAGGTTAGGTAGGAGAGCTGGACTGAGAGAACACTGGGAAGAAGGAGGGTGGGGTCACCAGTTAGATGCAGAGGAAGCAGGAGATGAACATACCATGCTGAAAAAGGGCACCATCATATGGTAGGTAAGAAATATGGGTTATGATGTAAGAGCTAGTTAGCTACAAGCCTAAGCTATCAGCCGAGCATTTATAATTAATAAGTCTCTGTGTAGTTACTTGGGAGATGGCTGGCAGGACAGAAAATACCGTCTACTAGTCATCATGCCCAATTTTATGGGGTACTGAGGTGATTGAATCAAGGGACTCAGGGAGAGCTCATGATTATATTTATATCAATACATTCTTTTTTGGTATGCTTTTGAACTTAACATAATGGAATCACATTGTATATATTTTTCTGTGGTGTTTTAGACTCATTTGGGTTTGTATATAATTCATTTTTACTTCTGTACAATGTACCACATAAATATACTATAATATATCCAATGTGCATTAAAAGATACATATATATATGAAAATATATATATATATGCATACATACCTGAAATGTAGAGAATGTTCAAGATAATACATACAAAAACCATATAATACACATATATAAATACTTATTTAAAATGGGTATCTTTTAGGGGCTAGGATGTAGCTCAATGATGGAGCACTTACCTAGCATGTGCTAGGCTCCAGGTTTGATTCCTGGCATGACAAAAACAAACAAAAAAGGCTACCAATGATATACTTTCACAACAGAAAATCTCTTTGTTTATAAAAAAGACCAGTATTAATTTTTATTTATACTAATAGTGTCAAAATATGTGTCCATAAGAAGCATACAAGTGTTTTGGTTATTCTATATTTTTTCTTTAAAATACTAGGGTCTGAAATAGGTAAATACTCTACCACTAAGTTTATACTTGGTCCTTTTTAGTGTTCTTTTATTTTTAAATTATAAATCAAATATTAACAAAAATCTAAAAACTATATATAGATCTGTTCTTGTAACACAATATTCACATAGATATTTATGGATTATCTAAACAATTGGTAAATCAGAGTATGACAATGTTCCTGAAGAAAAAATAACTTTAAAAAGGCAGTAGCAAGAAGGTGACAAATACCAAAACATTTGAGAAAACACAACTCACCTTGGCTGATGATAGTGCAACTTTTCCTGGAGACCTGTTCAGAAACAAAAGAAGGTATTAGATAGAAGAAATAAGAAAGACTTCTTCTACATATTAATAAAGACAATGTAGCACAAGTAATAAAAAACAGAGACAGATACTGGGGTTCAAGTTGAAGATCAAAAAAGCAAAGCAGCCAAACCACTAGAGAGTTTTTACCTCTACCAAGACTCAGACCAAAGGGAATGATCCTGTCCTCAGCATGACTGCAAATTGCAATGCTCTCCACCAAAAACTTCAGATTGCACTGAGACTGCACTGAGCTCATGCCTTATATTCCTCTCTAGTGTGGGATGAAAGGTGTGACATCCCAAGTGCTGGGATCAAAAGTGTTAGCTCAGTTTCTCATTTAGGCTGATTCACTCTCATGTAGCCCACAGTGGCCGTGAATTCACAGAAATCCATTTGTTTCTGTCTCCTGAGTGCTGGGATTCAAGGTATGGCCACCACTGCCTGTTCCCTATGGCTAACTAGTTGCTTACCTGGTGTGTGTGTGTGTGTGTGTGTGTGTGTGTGTGTGTGTGTGTGTGTGTGTGTGTGTCTAACTAGTGGCTTAACTCTTAACTAGGTGTGTGGCTTAGCTCTGCATGTTGATCTTCAGGCAAGCTTTATTTGCTACAAGACAAGCTTGCATTAAAAAAATAGGTACATATTTTGTTCCTGGAAACTGTGGAAAACAAAAGAGCAGGAAAGAAAGCCAAAGCAATTATTAATAAGCTTACCAAGTATCTTCACATACATACACTATATAGAGTTTTGTACATAAGAAACTGTTGAACTTCAAAATAAAGTTCCTCAAAATGATTTTTCTAAATGTGAAATTGTGGGTCAAAATTGTAAAAGCTTCAAATTTTCAGAAAACTTTCAGATTGACATTTGGAACAACCACACCAATTTATGCTCTCACTGCTTTAAGAATGCCAGTTTAATGCCTTCATCAAAAATGAGTGCCATTTACAAAATTTGCCAATTTGATAAGCAAAAGTACGTATTATTTTTGTCTTATGTTGCACTTCCTTGATTTCTAACATGGTTGAAAATTTTCAAATACATACTGATTTTGGAGAGAGAAATCATTTTCGTTTTGACTTCAGTTTTTCTACTGAAGCAAAACTCTACCCTTATCTGGAGTAAAACCAAAAACCACAGGTCTAGAAAAATAAAAACATGTGATAAAGTAACTCCTAATGATATTCTGCTATAATCAGATCAGTGCCTTGTTCAGCCATCATCAGAGAAGCTTCCTCCTACGGTGGCAGCAAATGGGAACAGTATAGAGACCCACAGTCAGACATTACACAGTGTGTGAGAGAACTTGGAACACTCAGCCCTAAATGAGATGTCTCATTTAGATTCTTCCCCTCAGGGCTCAAGGAACCCCCACAACGGAGGAGGCGGAAAGAACTAGAGGGGATGGAGGGCAACAGGAGAACAAGGCCTGTAATCAACATGATCAAAGATCATAGAAACGCACAGAGACTGAAGCAGATGCACAGGGCCTGTATGGGTCTGTATCAGGTCCTGTGTGTATAGATTACTGCTTCCAGTTTAGTGTTTTTATGGAAATCGTGAGTGTGCAAACAAGTGGTTCTCTGATTCTTGTGCCTTCTTTTAGGCTCTTTTCCCTCTGTTGGCTGTCCTGCCCAATTTCAATGTGACAGTCTTGTTTTATCTTATTATATTTTATTTTGTTATATTTTAAATTTTCCCTTATAAATCTGTTCTTTTCTAATGAGAGACAGAAAGGGAGAAGATATGGATGAGAGGGGATGTGGGGAAGAATATAGGGAGGGGAAACTGTAATCTGGATTATTATGTAAGAAAAGAATCTATTTTCAATAAAAATAATAAATGAAAATATTCTACCCTTAAACATAGACTACTCTAGATACAGTAATTTCTTTTGCTAATTTTCCCTTTTCAAATTTTATTTATTCCGGATAATGATAAAATTCCTTCTTTCCAACCCCTCCCATGTTTCCCCTACCCCTTGCTTTATTTTTTTAGAAATTTTTATTTACATTAGAAACAATCTTATTTTACATATCAATCCCAGTTCCCTCTCCCTCCCATCCTCCCATGCCTCCCACCAACATCAAAGTCTGTCACATCATTTGGGGCAGGACCTAGGCCCTCCCCCATGTTAAATACAATAATTTCTCACTCATTTTTTAATGATTCCTTCCTCACCTTTTTGTTTTTTCCAAGTAAGAACAGTTTAATATTTGCTTGAAAGCATAATCGAGAGAACACATTTATGGCCACTCATTATTTTTACCTCAGGGACACACAGCAACAGTAAATAATTAATACACCAATCCTAGATTTTAAAAAAAATGAAATGCAATTATCAGATGATATAACTTTAGATTGAAAGGCAGCTTCAAACAAAAATCATTTAATCACTGTTTTTATAGAGAAAGAAAAACAGTTTAAGAGACTGGGTGACTTTTCCTCAAAGTCATATTTACAAGAACCAAACTACCATACTATTTATATGTCAAATTTGGTATGATGTTGTTACAGGAATCCTCATTATCTACTTAAAATTTGGTGGGAAACAAAATTACTTTCAAAGAACACTCAATCCTTTCACTGAACAAACATTTCTGGAATGCCACTATGTCCTAGTACTAGAGATAAGAAGATGAATTAGACAATTGTAGTTAGCTTTTCTAAGGTGGCTCAAAAACACAAAATTAACTATCATAAATAATTCCCAGTTTACTAACAGTGGTTTGGGTCAATATATATTTATATTAACAAAGGAAAATTCCCAGAAATGAAAACAGATTTCATTTGTTAAGGCAGGGACTGGATACATAGTCCAAACTCAGATTTTCTTGTCTCAGTCTCCTGAGTTCTGGGATTATATGTTTGGTGTGATGATACACAGTTTATGATCTAATAAAGCTTGCCTGAAGATCAGAGTGCAAAACTAGCCAAAGCCATAGAGGCCAGGCAGTGGTGGTGCACACCTTTACCAGCACTCAGGAGAAAGAGACAGATGGGTCTCTGTGAGTTCAAGGCCACGTTGGGCTACATGCATCAGCCTAAAAGAGAAACAGAGCTCACACCTTTGATCCCAGCACTTGGGATGACACACCTTTATTTTCTAACTAGAGAGGAATATAAGGCAGGAGGAGCTCAGGGCAGTCTCAGGGAGTCTGAGGTTTGGTAGATCTCAGTGCAGCCTGAGGTTTGGTGGATCACCCCTTCGGTCTGAGCACTCTATAGTGGCTGGCAGCTTTGCTTCTCTGATCTTCAGCTTTAACCCCAATATCTGTCTTTGGGTTTTTAAAAAAATATAATTTATTTATTTATTTTTATTTTATGTGTATTGGTGTTTTGCCAGCATGTATGTCTGTATGAGGGTGTCAGAGCCCCTGAAACTGGAGGTACAGACAGTAGTTACTGGTACAGTTACTGTGGGAGCTGGGAATTGAACCCAGGTCCTCAGGAAGAGCAGCCAGAGCTCTTAACCACTAAGCCATCTTTCCAGCCCCTGTCTCTGAGTTTTTATTATTCATGCTACACTTGGTATGTTGACAATCATTTAGTTCTCTAGTCTAATCTATATAGCTGTGTAATAAAATCCTGAATATAGAAAGAGTTGGTGCAGAGTTGCATTCCTGTCCTGGCTTCCTTCAATGATGGGCTACAATGTGGAAGTGTCAGCTAAATAAACCCTTTCCACCCCCAAAACAACAACAACAAAAAGTTTGTTAGAACAAAGGCTATTCTAATTCCAAAGAAATAAATAAAGATCAATTCTATATAAATGAATGTTTAAAACAAACAAATACAATCCAAACAAAAACAAAGACCTTAAAAAACTCAAATTTCCATGAACCTCAGCTGGGCGGTGCTGACACACGCCTTTAATCCCAGCACCCGGGAGGCAGAGGCAGGCATATCTCTATGAGTTCAAGGCCAGCCTGGTCTACAAAGCTACACAGAGAAACCCTGTCTTGAAAAACAAAACAAAACAAACAACAAAAAAAATTCCATGAACCTCAAATTCTGAAAGATATCAAAGGGGAAGTGCAGATCTGCAATAGAAGTCTAAAAGCAAGAGTTAAATTGTTTAAAAACAAAACAAAAAAATACTAAACCCCATATGAAGTAGAGAAGGGAGGAAATTTTGTTCATCTCAGGTTCCTTACACCTGGAGAAATTTGGCCAGGTTCTTTGGCTGGCTGCATCCCCTAGAAAAGAAGATATCTTAGCTCTTATATATAATAGGTTTCTGGCTGTTGATTCAATGTCTAAGTTATTGGCCAGTTGTTGACATTATTGGAGACATTCCAGATTATGCAGAGTAACTACTTCCTTTTGAAAGACAAGGGGCATAGTAAAATAGTCTTTTAGGCAGGCTAACTTTGCTTGAACACTGCTTAATGATACCCTGTGTGTGATCAAATCATTTAATGATTCATTTTCTTAAAGATGCTGTTTTGTCCTCTGCAAATAGGGGTAAAAACATTTCCCTTGGACTGATGTGAGGATTCAGAGTACATGAAGACATACACAGTGCATGGTAGTTTCTTTAGCAACTTTGAATTGCTCCACATTTTTCCATGGTACTTTGGCAACTATCAGTAATGAGGAGCCAAAAACTAATTTCTGGGCACAAAAGGGAACTCTACAGCCTATAAAGCTCCATGTCATTTAAAAAGAGTGAAAAAAAGCCAGCGTATACTGAGCTGGCGATTCAAACGAAATCTTACCAACAGGTGATATTATTAACAAAAACCTGGTAACCAAAAATACTTGTGGTGTTTGAAGCACATTTTAAGTATAAAGTTGTTAAGAGTTTGGTGGGTAGCAAAATATTTCAAACTGCCATGGTTTCTTATATATTAAGCTTGAAACTGTTTTTTTTTTTAAAATCAAGGTAGTATGTAAGGCTAGAATTATTTTGTTATATATTTTTGATCTATTTATAGAAATTCAGTGCCTAATGAAAAGTAAAAAACAAAACTAACTTGTAAG